CTTTTCAACCACATACAGTACATTCTATCACGTTTTGCATGACTGCTGAAAATCAGGTGCCACCCACAAGGAACAACTGTTTGTTTTTGTGGCGCTGTTCAATGGACAGGGCCAAGCAGGAAGGAGATTACCCAACCACTCTGAGGCACAGTCTCCCTAGATCAAATTCTGAGGTGCACAAATGTACATGCCTCTTCAGTGTGCAAAGTTGAGAGGCTATAGTTTTTTTTTTTTACACTGGGACACACTTTGTATATCTTTCCACCGCACAATTATCACACAGACAGATTGACAAGGCAACCTTTTTCAAAGGGGCATGGCTGGCTCCTGCTGCCTGGAAGTGTTGGAGCAGTGAAACCCAACGCTGGTTGACTTTCAGTAAAAAATACCTCACCTCGGTCAAGATTTAAGCCGCTAAACAAACCTAAAACACTGCACACACTTTATTCATCTCCTCTCTGTTTAAAATCCTTGGTTCCTTTTTAAATGGCCTTTACTAGAACATTACATTATTACATTATAATTTAAGGGGATAAAATATTGTAAAGAGATGGTATAATGCTTATGAATTTCTGTATCTAACTTTTTAAACGTTGAATATCTGTACAGAAATAAATTACATTTATGGATACATTTGAAAAGTTTGTGCTTCAAAACATTTGCAGGAGCTCACATGAAATTACCCTTTCATAGTACACAATTTTTTTTATGAATTTTGTTTTATTCTCAAATATTTTCTTTACACAAATTACTTCCTCGTAAGAAAGTACTGTCTCTGCTAAGCAATAAAGTTCATTTGAATAGAAACTGACTAAATCCTGGAAATTACCACTTGTTTTGGATAGCGTTATCACACGTTTAAATATACATTACATGCCACAGATTTCAGCTATAGTAGACAAGTTTTAATCACTGCACCTCTGTAACCCACTAGATCTGTTTATTGTATGTTTCCCATCAGTACCTCTGTAACCCACCTGACCTGTTTTTAAAGTTTCCCATCAATACCCCTGTTCCAACTTCCTAGAACCCAAGAAACATTCTAGAAACGTCCTTGTCATAAGTGTCAAATCTCCGTACACGATCTTTGCTGATCTGAACACACAGGAAAGGCAATATGTCCGAATACTTCAAATATTAGTATGGATGAAGGAAAGGAAGCTATTTTTGACCATTCATAAGGATAATTTCTCTATGACAGAAATGCTCATTTTACAGTAGCAAGACAGACAAGCACAGCAAGATACATTCAACACCAGATGCCTCACGTCCTTAATTGAAAGCATTGCAGCTTTGTGTCCTGCAGTAGAGACCACATGGTCCACATCTCGGTGGGATTCAGTTTGTGCACCAGCATGATCTCCCTGTAAATGCAGGGGTTGAAGTGTGACACCACCTGACGGAACCCAAAGGTCTTGAAGCCAGAGTGGTGCGTCAGCGTGACATTAATCTTCTGCAGGCACATGCCCACAAAGACATCATCAATGGGGAAGAGGTCAGTGCTGGACGCTGCCACTCCCAGGCTCAGCACAGTCTGACGTGACATCAGGTAGCCCCCACCGCCAGCGTATGGAGGATATGGCTTGTTGGGGTACATCTCCACTGGTATGAAGTACTTCCATTGGTTGTGCCGGATTGGATAGGCTCTTGGAATGATGTCACCAGCGAACAGTTGCTCAGAGGGCTTTCGGCCTTTAACATATTCAACCAGATTGCTGGTGTGAACAAAAACGTCATCGTCCCCTTTGAACACGTAGTGGGCCCACTGACACTCCAAAGTGAACCAGTTCAGGAATTGGACCTCCTTCAGGGTCAGGTTGAAAAAACTGTCCTCAAAATCCCACTGCAGGATGTCCCCAAATTGCCTGCTTTCCCACTCCAGTAGCTGCTGCAGCAGGTATCCCTGTATTCTGTCTGACGACTTACCTACTAAGAACAACAGTTTCACCCTTTTACCCTGAACATATCCCCTCTTCCCCCAAGTGGTCCGGAGCGCAATCCTGCGATCCACCTGGATGGCTGTGGACTTAATGGCCAGCAGGAGAAAAAGGTCATTCTCACAGGGTGTCGGAGACAGCAGGCGGGGGAATGTCCTGCAGTGTTTGTACATGAGGAAGTTACGGTGGGGAGGTGGGATAGAGGACGGAATGTTCTGCATGCTGTCATTGAGGGAGCAATTGAAAACATCCACAGTGGGCTGTGACTGTGGTGGTGTGGTGGAGGCAAAGGTGTTCCACTGCCAGTCTGTGTGGTTCTTATGCCACACTCTGAGCTCTCTCCTATATGTTCGTGGGACATTGAGGTCCATCATCACAAAGAGGACGCCAATCAACAACGCAGTCCCAATGACAATGGACCATCTACTGAGGCTTTGGTTTCTGAATAGGATCCTCATGGTTCTGAAAAAGAATTGCAAGCACACTACTTTTTAGCAACAAGGAGACAGAATTGGCACTGGTAGCCTATGGGCAATTCGACTGTAACAGAGTGACACTGAGACAAAGATTTTTCACTTTAAAATGTCTGTCAAACAAATGATTGCGAAGTTAAGCAAACCACACAACTCTATGCACAAGGACTACTTCTAACAATTTCCACTGAAAACTTTACAAAAACACATTTTCTTGAAGAACAGTGCAGATGCAAAATTTGGTAACAGAAGACTGTTTGTGCTGTCATTCAGTATGTATCTACCAGTATATGAAGTAGGCCTACAATAGACTACAGTCATGGTCAAAAGTTTTGAGAATGAAACAAGTATTGGTCTTCACAAAGTTTGCTGGAGGGGCATTCAAGAGGATTTTTCCATGCCTTATGTGGTAAATACCACCTTCCCAACTTGGTTATGAATGCAGCATTAGACCTAGGCTGTTCTTAACAAGTAGGTGTCTAGACAGGTCAATTAGGGCCTCTATTCAATCCGCATCACAGAAGTTCAGCTTTACAGAGTAATTGAAATTTAAAGGCAATGTTCCCGCTTTGGCTGAGACTGCATTTCTGTTAAAATCTGCATATGTCAGCCCTATTCTATCCTGTTGCAACACAATCTCACACTCAATTAGTGCAAATATCTACAAAAAGTATTTCAGCAGATTTTGTACATTTTTGTGTGGCTTAGCACCAGTATCCCAAAGTATTAAGCAAAAACAAGCATAGAAAACAGCATTGGCATTAATAAAACCTGGTTGATTAACAATATTGGGTTGTTAACATGTTTGTTTTATGTGGGACACAAAAAAAGGCAGTGTAGAACACCATTGCCCAAAATGCATTGCTCCAATAACTTTCAAAAGATTGTTCCGAAGTTTGTCCCCCAAAAAGGTATTTTCCTATGAATTAATTAGCACAAAAATGTGTGTCTTTTCCTAAGATTGAAGTCGCGCATACAGTGAGGGAAAAAAGTATTTGATCCCCTGCTGATTTTTTACGTTTGCCCACTGACAAAGAAATGATCAGTCTATCATTTTAATGGTAGGTTTATTTGAACATTGAGAGCACTAAGTCATGTTTTGCAGAGGGGTCAAATACTTATTTCCCTCATTGAAATGCAAATCAATTTATAACAGTTTTGACATGCGTTTTTCTGGATTTTTTTGTTGTTATTTTGTCTCTCACTGTTCAAATAAACCTACCATTAAAATGATAGACTGGTCATTTCTTTGTCAGTGGGCAAACGTACAAAATCTGCAGGGGATCAAATACTTTTTTCCCTCACTGTAAATGTGTGTATTTTCACACTAATTAAGCCACACAGAACAACACATTTAGTAAAGCAATAACAGGGTGCTTGAATTAAGCCAAAAAGCAATTCCCATCAGTGGAGGCTGCTGAGGGGAGGACGGCTCATAATAACATGGAAACCATGTGTTTGATGTATTTGATACCATTCCACACATTCCGCTCCAGCCATTACCACGAGCCCGTCCTCCCCAATTAAGGTGCCACCAACCTCCTGTGATTCCCATAGGCCTATACAAAGGAAAAAGGGGCCAACACTCACTTGATTCAGTTACAATTGAAGATTTGTTTAATTTTGATTTTATTTTAAGAACAAGATGTCTTGTGTGTTTTATAAACGGAAATTGAAAAACGTCAATAATAATGTTCCAGCACTCAGGTGTAGGCTAAAGAACCTTATAAAATGATAATAGATTTTAGGCTACACCACAAAACTATTTGTTTTGTTTAATGTTTCAATGATATACTAGTTATGCTAGTTATTTTATACTAGACTGTATTTACTCATTATAAAACAAGGAAATACAATATAATGCGTGATTGATTAACAATTGATAATTTATCCTATCAAGCCCAAGATATTTGGTTTCTTTTCATTTTTATGTGCCTATTCAAAAAATGTTATTCTTAGCCATTAAAAAAAGAGTTTCAATACAACACTGTAATTCACTTACTTGATATTAAAAACAAAGACGAAGATAGACCATCAAAATAGTTGTAGCCTACTTAGGACGTGAGTTTCGGAGAGAATTGAAGTGCTGTTCAACATTTACCACCACACAATCCTTAGCGGGAAGGATGCTCAATCAATGTTTGCGCACCTGTTGCTGAAATACTCAATTTATAATTTGCTTGATCGCGTTATAATTCTTTACAAATACTACTATACCTGCGTTTTCAATAAGTTCTGCTATTCATCTAGAGAATCGTTGCGAATTGACTCGACTATGGTTAGCAAGTTCAAGTTACCTCACAGTCCTGAAGGGAAGTTGCACGACATTTATTGTCACCAATTTATCCTATTGTCTTGAAGGGCGTGTCACCGTGTGACTTTTGAAGCCTGTCCCTGCTGTTAGATCCAGGAACCTTTTGAAAAGGAAATTTCCCAATATTTGGATATAGCTACTTGGAATTTGGGATATAAAAAGGTGGCCTTTTACTGTAATAAACTTGACAAATTTGAGTTCGTGATTGGTTTAATCCCCAATTTTGTCATTACAACTTTTCGTTTTCTTCATACAAATAGCTAGGCTGAAGGCTCATCATGGGTGAACCAGGTGATGGACTTCTGAGGCTGAACGCCATTTCTCTAGATGCACAGTGAACTCCACAGTCATTGGCTCTAACTGGTTTGGACTGGGAGCAGAGTTGTCGTCCATGCGGAAATCTGCCTCGCTTTCCTTCCGTCCTTTTCCCTTACCTACAAGCATGAAGGGAAATGTTTAGTCTTATGAACCCAACTTATTTGGTACCATTTTACATGGAATTGTACATTTTTTTCTGTACATTTTGTGTCAGTTGCACAGATATTTTATTCTCTAGAAACTAGCAAGGCTAAGGAAGGGATTCTATTTTTCATCCAGGTAAAGCTGGCCTAAGAACTGCTATTCTATCAACTCCTACACAGTTGCTATGTATGAGGTGATTATTTTTGCTCACTTTTAGAGGGTGGTGCAGCATTCTTCTGCCCCCCTGCACTGTCAGCACTTGACTTAGTTTTCTTGTCCTCCTTCTTCTTGTCATGTTTGGATTTCTTACTTGGGTCCTGGAGAAAATTACAAAGCATGTCAGACATATACAGTGCATTCGGAAAATATTCAGACCCCTTCCCTTTTTCCACATTTTGTTATGCTACAGCCTTTAAATTAAATTTCTGCAGAGAAGAATGGGAGAATCTCCCCAAATACAGGTGTGCCAAGCTTGAGCGTCATACCCAAGAAGACTCAAGGCTGTAATCGCTGCCAAAGGTGCTCCAACAAAGTACTGAGTAAAGGGTCTGAATACTTATGTAAATGTGATATTTCAGTTTATTTTATTTTTTATAAATTTGCTAAAATGTCTAAAACCCTGTTTTTGCTTTGTCATTATGGGGTATTGTGTGTAGATTGAGGGGGAAAAAACAATTTAATCAATTTTAGAAATGGAAAGAGTGAAGGTGTCACGCCCTGACATAGAGATCTTTAGTTGGTTTGGTCAGGGTGTGAATTTCTATGTGTAAGATCTAGATTTTGTATTTCTATGTTGGCCGGGTGTGGTTCCCAATCAGAGGCAGCTGTCGATCGTTGTCTCTGATTGGGGATCATACTTAGGCAGCCATGTTGCCTACCTATGTTGTGGGATCTTGTTTCTGTTTGTTTGGCTTGTTTGATGTACAGTGGGGGAAAAAAGTATTTAGTCAGCCACCAATTGTGCAAGTTCTCCCACTTAAAAAGATGAGAGAGGCCTGTAATTTTCATCATAGGTACACGTCAACTATGACACACAAAATGAGGAAAAAAAAATCCAGAAAATCACATTGTAGGATTTTTTATGAATTTATTTGCAAATTATGGTGGAAAATAAGTATTTGGTCAATAACAAAAGTTTCTCAATACTTTGTTATATACCCTTTGTTGGCAATGACACAGGTCAAACGTTTTCTGTAAGTCTTCACAAGGTTTTCACACACTGTTGCTGGTATTTTGGCCCATTCCTCCATGCAGATCTCCTCTAGAGCAGTGATGTTTTGGGGCTGTTTCTGGGTAATACGGACTTTCAACTCCCTCCAAAGATTTTCTATGGGGTTGAGATCTGGAGACTGGCTAGGCCACTCCAGGACCTTGAAATGCTTCTTACGAAGCCACTCCTTCGTTGCCCGGGTGGTGTGTTTGGGATCATTGTCATGCTGAAAGACCCAGCCACGTTTCATCTTCAATGCCCTTGCTGATGGAAGGAGGTTTTCACTCAAAATCTCACGATACATGGCCCCATTCATTCTTTCCTTTACACGGATCAGTCGTCCTGGTCCCTTTGCAGAAAAACAGCCCCAAAGCATGATGTTTCCACCCCCATGCTTCACAGTAGGTATGGTGTTCTTTGGATGCAACTCAGCATTCTTTGTCCTCCAAACACGACGAGTTGAGTTTTTACCAAAAAGTTCTATTTTGGTTTCATCTGACCATATGACATTCTCCCAATCCTCTTCTGGATCATCCAAATTTACTCTAGCAAACTTCAGACGTGCCTGGACATGTACTGGCTTAAGCAGGGGGACACGTCTGGCACTGCAGGATTTGAGTCCCTGGCGGCGTAGTGTGTTACTGATGGTAGGCTTTGTTACTTTGGTCCCAGCTCTCTGCAGGTCATTCACTAGGTCCCCCCCCGTGTGGTTCTGGGATTTTTGCTCACCGTTCTTGTGATCACTTTGACCCCACGGGGTGAGATCTTGCGTGGAGCCCCAGATCGAGGGAGATTATCAGTGGTCTTGTATGTCTTCCATTTCCTAATAATTGCTCCCACAGTTGATTTCTTCAAACCAAGCTTACCTATTGCAGATTCAGTCTTCCCAGCCTGGTGCAGGTCTACAATTTTGTTTCTGGTGTCCTTTGACAGCTCTTTGGTCTTGGCCATAGTGGAGTTTGGAGTGTGACTGTTTGAGGTTGTGGACAGGTGTCTTTTATACTGATAACAAGTTCAAACAGGTGCCATTAATACAGGTAACGAGTGGAGGACAGAGGAGCCTCTTAAAGAATAAGTTACAGGTCTGTGAGAGCCAGAAATCTTGCTTGTTTGTAGGTGACCAAATACTTATTTTCCACCATCATTTGCAAATAAATTCATTAAAAATCCTACAATGTGATTTTCTGGATTTTTTTCCCTCAATTTGTCTGTCATAGTTGACGTGTACCTATGATGAAAATTACAGGCCTCTCTCATCTTTTTAAGTGGGAGAACTTGCACAATTGGTGGCTGACTAAATACTTTTTTTCCCCACTGTATAGCCTTTAGAACTTCACGTTCAGTTGCTTTGTTATTTTGTCAAGTGTTTATTATTATCATTAAACATGTACGCATACCACGCTGCACCTTGGTCCAATCCTTTACACGACGAACGTGACAGAAGATCCCACCACCAACGGACCAAGCAGCGTGGCCAGGAGGAGAAGACACCCTTGACACAGGTGGGGAAGACATTTTTGGAAGGAGATATTAGCCGGTAAAGAACCCTGGGCAAAGGAAGAAGCCCAGGCAGGAGAGGATCAACGGCGACGCCGAAGTGCACAACGACGAAGGAGGCCCGAGAGGCAACCCCAAGAAAAGTTTTGGGGGGGGCACACGGGGTGATCGACGAAGCAGCAGGAGGCCGTGAAAAGGCTGACTGTGGAGGAGGAGGCCGGTATAGTAGAGGCCCTCCAAGACCTGCAGCTCATAAGTCTGAGAGAGGAGACCACCACATTGCGGGGGCTGTTAGCTCAGAGGGAGCAGGAGTTCTCCCTTCAGAGGGAGGCGCTACAGGAGGCTCACAGGGAGAAGGAGTCAGTGGATGCACTGAGAGAGGGGTTGGCCAGGCAACAGGAGGAACTGAGAGAGGAGTTAACCCTTCAGCAGCAGAGAGCTCAGTACTTAGAGCAGAGGCTGGCGAAGCCAGGTTGCAGAGCAGAGCCAACTCCCCGCACTCGCTTTGAGGAGCGTGTGACCGTTCAGGCACCAGGCTATGCGCCGGCGTTGCGCACTGTCCCGCCAGGGTGCCTTCACAGACCCGTGTTGCCTACCTATGTTGTGGGATCTTGTTTCTGTTTGTTTGGCTTGTTTGATGTATAGCCTTTAGAACTTCACGTTCAGTTGCTTTGTTATTTTGTCAAGTGTTTATTATTATCATTAAACATGTACGCATACCACGCTGCACCTTGGTCCAATCCTTTACACGACGAACGTGACAGAAGGGGTCTGAATGCCTTTCCAAATCTTGTCCAATCAATTACATTTACCACAGGTGGACGCCAATCAAGTTGTAGAAACAGCTCAAGGATGATCAATGGAAACAGGATGCACCTGAGCTCAATTTCGAGTCTCATAGCAAAGGGTCTGAATACTTATGTAAATAAGGTATTTCCGTTTTTAAAATTTGAATAGATTTGCATAAAAATTGGAAAACCTGTTTTCGCTTTGTCCTTATCGGGTATTGTGTGTAGATTGATGAGGAAAATGTTTTATTTAATCAATTTCAGAAGAAGTCCGTAATGTAACAAAATGTGGAAAAAGTGAAGGGATCTTATACCTGGAGTACTTCTCCTGTCTTATCCAGTGTCCTGTGTGAATTTAAGTATGCTCTCTCTAATTCTCTCGTTCTCTCTTTCTCTCTGAGAACCTGAGCCCTAGGACCATACGTCAGGACTACCGGGCATGATGACACCTTGCTGTCCCCAGTCCGCCTGGCCTTGCTGCTATTCCAGTTTCAACTGTTCTGCCTGCGGCTACGAAACCCCTACCTGTCCCAGACCTGCTGTTTTCAACTCTTAATGATCGGCTATGAAAAGCCAACTGAGAGACCTGAGCCCTAGGACCATACGTCGGGACTACCGGCCGTGGTGACTCCTTGCTGTCCCCAGTCCGCCTGGCCTTGCTGCTATTCCAGTTTCAACTGTTCTGCCTGCGGTTATGGAACCCCTACCTGTCCCAGACCTGCTGTTTTCAACTCTTAATGATCGGCTATGAAAAGCCAACTGAGATTTATTCCTGATTATTATTTGACCATGCTTGTCACTTATGAACATTTTTGAACATCTTGGCATGGTTCTGTTATAATCTCCACCCGGCACAGCCAGAAGAGGACTGGCCACCCCTCATAGCCTGGTTCCTCTCTAGGTTTCTTCCTAGGTTTTGCCTTTCTAGGGAGTTTTTCCTAGCCACCGTGCTTCTACACCTGCATTACTAGCTGTTTGGGGTTTTAGGCTGGGTTTCTGTACAGCACTTCGAGATATTAGCTGATGTAAGAAGGGCTATATAAAATAAAATTGATTGATTGATCTGAATACTTTCCAAATGCACTGTATAGGCTTATCTCTATTGACTAGAAGAGATTCATGACTCTTTATTTGCCTTGACCACAATTGTTTCTTTCTCACAAGATTTGTTATGGATCATTTACGAATGACAATGGGCAATTTCAAGGTTAATTCCATGGTTATGTTTATTTTTAACGCTGAGACTCAGATTTTTCACTTTAAAATGTATACCAAACCAAAACCATTGATTTCAAAGTTTAACAAACAGTAGAACTCTGTGCACAAGGCCTACTTTTAACAATTTCCAGAGAAAATGTAACAAAAATACATTTACAGGAAGAACTCTGCAGATACAAAGTTTGTTAACCTCCCTACGTCGGCCTTTGACTCATTTCTCTCTGCCTCCTTCTTTCCACTCCTTTCCTCTTTTGACCTCACCCTCTCACCGCCCCCCCCCTACTCACAAGGCAGGCAATACGCTTGACCTCATCTTTACTAGATGCTGTTCTTCTACTAATCTCACTGCAACTCCCCTCCAAGTCTCCGATCACTACTTTGTTTTCTCTCTCGCTCTCCTCCAACACTACTCACTCTGCCCCTACTCAGATGGTAATGTGCCGTCGCAACCTTCGCTCTCTCTCTCCCACTCCTCTCTCCTCTTCTATCCTATCATCTCTTCCCTCTGCTAAATCCTTCTCCCTCTGATCTCCTGATTCTGCCCCCTCAACCCTCCTCTCCTCCCTTTCTGCATCTTTTGACTCTCTATGTCCCCTATCCTCCCGGCCGGCTCGGTCCTCCCCTCCTGCTCCGTGGCTTGACGACTCATTGCGAGCTCACAGAAGAGGGCTCCGGGCAGCCGAGCGGAAATGGAGGAAAACTAGACTCCCTGCGGACCTGTCATCTTTTCACTCCCTCCTCTCTACATTCTCTTCCTCTGTTTCCGCTGCTAAAGCCACTTTCTACCACTCTAAATTTCAACCCTCTGCCTCTAACCCTAGGAAGCTCTTTGCCACCTTCTCCTCCCAGCTGAATCCTCCTCCTCCTCCCCCTCCCTCTCTGTGGATGACTTCGTCAACCATTTTGAAAAGAAGGTTGACGACATCCGATCTTCATTTATTAAGTCAAATGACACCGCTGGTCCTGCTCACACTGCCCTACCCTATGCTTTGACTTCTTTCTCCCCTCTCTCTCCAGATGAAATCTTGCGACTTGTGACGGCAGGCCGCCCAACAACCTGCCCGCTTGACCCTATCCCCTCCTCTCTTCTCCAGACCATTTCCGGAGACCTTCTCCCTTACCTCACCTCGCTCATCAACTCATCCTTGACCGCTGGCCATGTCCCTTCCGTCTTCAAGAGAGCGAGAGTTGCACCCCTCCTCAAAAAACCTACACTCGATCCCTCCGATGTCAACAACTACAGACCAGTATCCCTTCTTTCTTTTCTCTCCAAAACACTTGAGTGTGCCGTCTCTAGCCAACTCTCCTGCTATCTCTCTCAGAATGACCTTCTTGATCCAAACCAGTCAGGTTTCAAGACTGGTCATTCAACTGAGACTGCTCTTCTCTGTGTCACGGAGGCTCTCCGCACTGCTAAAGCTAACTCTCTCTCCTCTGCTCTTATCCTTCTAGACCTATCCGCTGCCTTTGATACTGTGAACCATCAGATCCTCCTCCACCCTCTCCGAGTTGGGCATCTCCGGCGCTGCTCACTCTTGGATTGCGTCCTACCTGACAGGTTGCTTCTACCAGGTGGCGTGGCGAGAATCTGTCTCCGCACCACGTGCTCTCACCACTGGTGTCCCCCAGGGCTCAGTTCTAGGCCCTCTCCTATTCTCTCTATACACCAAGTCACTTGGCTCTGTCATATCCTCACATGGTCTCTCCTATCATTGCTACGCAGACGACACACAATTAATTTTCTCCTTTCCCCCTTCTGATAACCAGGTGGCGAATCGCATCTCTGCATGTCTGGCAGACATATCAGTGTGGATGTCGGATCACCACCTCAAGCTGAACCTCGGCAAGACGGAGCTGCTCTTCCTCCCTGGGAAGGACTGCCCGCTCCATGATCTCGCCATCACGGTTGACAACTCCATTGTGTCCTCCTCCCAGAGTGCAAAGAGCCTTGGCGTGACCCTGGACAACACCCTGTCGTTCTCTGCTAACATCAAAGCGGTGACCCGATCCTGCAGGTTCATGCTCTACAACATTCGCAGAGTACGACCCTACCTTACACAGAAAGCGGCACAGGTCCTAATCCAGGCACTTGTCATCTCCCGTCTGTATTACTGCAACTCGTTGTTGGCTGGGCTCCCTGCCTGTGCCATTAAACCCCTACAACTTATTCAGAACGCCGCAGTCAGTCTGGTGTTCGACCTTCTCAAGTTCTCTCATGTCACCCCGCTCCTCCACACACTCCACTGGCTTCCAGTTGAGGCTCGCATCTACTACAAGACCATGGTGCTTGCCTACGGAGCTGTGAGGGGAACGGCACCTCCTTACCTTCAGGCTCTGATCAGACCCTACACCCAAACGAGGGCACTACGTTCATCCATCTCTGGCCTGCTAGCTCCCCTACCTCTACAGAAGCACAGTTCCCGCTCAGCCCAGTCAAAGCTATTTGCTGCTCTGGCACCCCAATGGTGGAACAAGCTCCCCCACGACGCCAGGACAGCGGAGTCACTGACCACCTTCCGGAGACACTTGAAACCCTACCTCTTTAAGGAATACCTGGAATAGTATAAAGCAATCATTCTACCCCCCCCCCCCCACCCCCCCATAAAAAAAAGAAGAAGAAAAATAAATAAAAGTGGTTGTCCCACTTGCTATCATAAGTTGAATGCACCAATTTGTAAGTCGCTCTGGATAAGAGCGTCTGCTAAATGATGTAAATGTAAATCTAAATGTTAACAGAATAAAACTGAGGGAGATTTTACCGTAATTCTGTTACCAAACTTTGCATCTGCACAGTTTTTCCAGTAGGCCTAAATGTTGTATTAAATTGTTCAAAGTAGTCATTGTTCTATGGTTTTTGTTTAAAGTGAAAAATCAGTCTCAGCATAATTCCAGTACCATGGAATTGCCCCAATACTTCAGTATAGATGATGTAGAGCAAAGGGCCTCTGGTGTAAACTTTGGCACATATTTCACTTAAATAGTTTTACTTTGCTTACAGAGAAAGAGGAGAGAGTCACAAGCTACAGAGTACCTTATCTCGGGGTGGCATGGCCCTGGTGCTTTGCTCTGTGAGCAGCACCCCAAGGTTGCACAGGACATCAACTCTCTGATCACCAGACACCAGGTCCTGTAGTGGCACATGGATCGAGCCCAGGGTTCTTCTGATGGGAGTGTCCTGGACTAGGTCCATTATTGAGACTTTTTTCTTGTTCTTGTCTTTCGATTTTTGGTTGGAACAAGTGTTGCTTGGTGGTCGCGCACACTGTCCAACACAGACAAAATAATACGTATTTTGTACTAGTCATGTCTGTTACCATCAATTCCTTCATAAAGGTTTCCATTAGACATATCATGTGTTGGATTACTATATACTGTAAAAAGCCAGAGAGAAAAATCTTCTGTTGACTGAAGTGGTAGCTTACATTGTTACAAACAAAATTGACTTACTGGACGGGATCTCTTCAGATTAATGGTTATGCTTTTTTAAATAGTGTATCTGAAAGATTATTTCACACTACCATTGCTTGTAAGTAATTGCAACCATTTCAAAAATGTAATCTACTGTACTCGACCAGTTTGAGCATCATGAAATTTCCCTCTTCCATTGTGTTAACCACAAACACTCAACAGCCACCATTTAAACAACATACATTCTATGAGGAAGCAATTACCCTTTGCATGACTATACTGAAAAACAGGTTATATGTGATACAGTGCCACTAACAAGGAACAGGTTTTTCAGCTGCCCTCTGAAAAAGAACATTGTTGAGAACCTTTCCATCACCAGACTATAACGACTGTTAAATAGTGTAATCTTGGTTACCCAGAAGTAAAATTCTTGCAAAAGTTTGTCACTTTCTGAATCTGTCCATGAGAGATTACAAATTGTGTAACGTCACCTCTTTCCCCCCTTTCTTTTCTGTTGTAGATTTGGTTATTGGCTGTTCTCCTGAAGGGGCAGGCCATGAGAGGACCTAAAAAAATGCCAAATAATAGTCAGATAACAATAACTCAATCCTCTTATCCACCCATAAGACATCCATGCATCAACCTAAACATAAATCCTTACATCTAGAGTATTCAGTATGTAGATTTGGGAGTATGTGAACTGTCTTTGTTTGCATGGTGCGGAGCGTCTGCTTTGTTCTGTACCTTCTCCTCCTCCACAGTCAACCAGAGCCCACGAAGGATGAAGGACTTGAAGGACCCCAGCTCACCAACACTATGCACACTTGTGTGGTCATAGTCCATATACTCTGCCCATGCCAGCTTATGTGTGCTGTTCATCATCACTGCAGAATGGGGACAATGAGGGGTTGGAGAGAGAGAGAGCGAGAGAGAGAGGAGAGAAATAGTTGGTACTAACTAAAGACACAGAAAGATTATATCAATCTTATAGAAGACGGAGGATGAGATCAGTAAAAAAGCAGGTCAGGCGACGGAGGTTTCAAGAATCACCTAGTGGAACAGAATGAAAAGGCATCCAATGCACGGTCCTGCTTCCCTCTAATATTATTCTAGGGATAGTGCCAGATTTTGGTAATAATTTATACTTACCCAGAGTCAGATTAACTCATGGATACCAGTTTTATGTCTGTGCGTGCAGTTTGAAGGTAGTTGAGCGAGCCATTGCTATCTAGCATTAGCGCAATGACTGGAAGTCTATCTTTACATCACAGGGCTTTCTGTAGAGCTTCTATTAAAATTGTAAGAAAGACAAGTCCTCTGAAGGTAAGAAAACAAGATTTTTTAAACATTTCTGAACACTATCCCTTTAATGAATGTTCCCTGGCCCTTAACAACTCTGCATAGTTTTCTCTGATATTTTGCAAAAGTTTTATCATCATGATCACACTGTACCTTCATTTATGTGTGAAGATGCAATGAGAATCTGCGATACATGCTCAGGAGCCTTCTTTGTGGTAGTTAAAGTACCTTCAGAAAGTATTCATACAGATTTAGTTGTGTTACAGCCTGAACTCAAAATGGATTAAATGTATATTTTTCTCTCACCCATCTACACACAATACCCCATCACGACAAAGTGAAAACATGTTTAGAATTTTTTGCATATTTATTGAAAATGAAATACAGAAATATCGCATATTCACACCCCTGAGTCAATACTTTGTAGAAGCACCTTTGGCGGCAATTACAGTTTTGAGTCATCTTGGGTATGTCTGTATCAGCTTTGCACATCTGGATTTGGAGATTTTCTCCCATTTTTACTTGCAGATTTTCTCAAATCAAATCAAATTGCGCCGAATACAACAGGTGTAGACCTTACTGTGAAATGGTTACTTACAAGCCCTTAACCAACAATGCAGTTCAATAAATAAAGTTAAGAAAATATTTACTAAATAAACTAAAGTAAAAAATAAACTAAAAAGTAACACAATAAAATAACAATTACGAGGCTATATACAGGAGGTACCGGTACCGAGTCGATGTGCGGGGGTACAGGTTAGTAGAGGTAATTTGTACATGTAGGTAGGGGTAAAGTGACTATGCATAGATAATAAACAGTGAGTAGCAGGGGGGGTATCAATGTAAATAGTCCGGGTGGCCATTTTATTAATTGTTCAGCAGTCTTATGGGTTGGGGGTAGAAGCTGTTAAGGAGCCTTTTGGACCTAGACTTGGCACTCCGGTACCGCTTACCGTGCAGTAGCAGAGAGAACAGTCTATGACTTGGGTGACTGGAGTCTTTGACAATTTTTTGGGCCTTCTTCTGACACCGCCTAGTATATAGGTCCTGGATGGCAGGAAGGGCCGTACGCACCAGCTTCTGTAGCGCCTTACGGTTGGATGCCGAGCAGTTGCCATACCAGGCAGTGATGCAACCGGTCAGGATGCTCTCGATGGTGCAGCTGTAGAACCTTTTGAGGATCTGGGGACCCATGCCAAATCTTTTCAGTCTCCTGAGGGGGAAAAGGTGTTGTCGTGCCCTCTTCACGACTGTCTTGGTGTGTTTGGACCATGATAGTTTGTTGGTGATGTGGACACCAAGGAACCTGAAACTCTCTACCCGCTCCACCACAGCCTCGTCAATGTTAATGGGGGCCTGTTCGACCCTCCTTTTTCTGTAGTCCACGATCAGCTCCTTTGTCTTGCTCACATTGAGGGAGAGGTTGTTGTCCTGGCACGACACTGCCAGGTCTCTGACCTTCTCCCTATAGGCTGTATCATCGTTGTCGGTGATCAGGCCTACCACTGTTGTGTCGTCAGCAAACTTAAAAATGGTGTTGGAGTCGTGTTTGGCCACGCAGTCGTGGGTGAACAGGGAGTACAGGAGAGGACTAAGCACTTACCCCTGAGGGGCCCCAGTGTTGAGGATCAGCGTGGCAGATGTGTTGTTGCCTACCCTTACAACCTGGGGGCGGCCCGTCAGGAAGTCCAGGATCCAGTTGCAGAGGGAGGTGTTTAGTCCCAGGGTCCTTAGCTTAGTGATGAGCTTTGTGGGCACTGTGGTGTTGAACGCTGAGCTGTAGTAAATGAACAGCATTCTCACATAGCTGTTCCTTTTGTCCAGGTGGGAAAGGGTAGTGTGGACTGCGATTGAGATTGCGTCATCTGCAGATCTGTTGGGGCGGTATGCAAATTGGAGTGGGTCTAGGGTTTCCGGGAGGATGGTGTTGATGTGAGCAATGACCAGCCTTTTAAAGCACTTCATGGCTACCAACGTGAGTGCTACGGGGCGGTAGTCTTTTAGGCAGGTTACCTTTGCTTTCTTGGGCACAGGGACTATGGTGGTCTGCTTGAAACATGTAGGTATTACAGACTCGGTCAGGGAGAGGTTGAAAATGTCAGTGAAGACACTTGCCAGTTTGTCAGTGCATGCTCTGAGTACACGTCCTGGTAATCCGTCTGTGAATGTGAATGTTGACCTGTTTAAAGGTCTTGCTCACATCGGCTACGGAGAGCATGATCACACAGTCGTCCGGAATCACTGTGGGGACGACATCGTCGATGCACTTATTGATGAAGCCGGTGACTGAGGTGGTATACTCCTCAATGCCATTGGATGAATCCCGGAACATATTCCATTCTGTGCTAGCAAAACAGTCCTGTAGCGTAGCATCCGTGTCATCTGACCACTTACGCATTGAGCGAGACACTGGTACCTCCTGCTTTAGTTTTTGCTTGTAAGCAGGAATCAGGAGGATAGAATTATGGTCAGATTTGCCAAATGGATGGCGAGGGAGAGCTTTTATGCGTCTCTGTATGTAGAGTAAAGGTGGTCTAGAGTTTTTAATTAGGTACAACAGATTTAAGTTTGCCTGCATTAAAGTCCCCGGCCACTGGGAGCGCTGCTTCTGGATGAGCATTTTCTTGTTTGCTTATGGCCTTATACAGCTTGTTGAGTGCGGTCCTAGTGCCAGCATTGGTTTGTGGTGGTAAATAGACGGCTACGAATAATATAGATGAGAACTCTCTCGGTAGATAGTGTGGTCTACAGTTTATCATGAGGTACTCTACCTCAGGCGAGCAATACCTTGAGACTTCTTTAATGTTAGACATCGCGCACCAGCTGTTATTGACAAATAGACACACACCCCCGCCCCTTGTCTTACCAGACGTAGCTGTTCTGTCCTGCCGATGCATGGAAAACCCAGCCAGCTCCATATTATCCATGTCGTCGTTCAGCCACGACTCGGTGAAACATAAGATATTACAGTTTTTACTGTCCCGTTGGTAGGATAGTTGACCGTAGAGCATCCTGTTTATTTTCCAGTGATCGCACGTTGGCTAATAGGACGGATGGTAGTGGCGGTTTACCCACTCGCCAAAATAATTCTCACAAGGCTCCCCGGTATGTCCGTCTTTTCTTCACTGAATGATGGGGATTTGGGCCTGGTCTTGGGAAAGCAGTATATCCTTCGCGTCGGACTCATTAAAGAAAAAATCTTCGTCCAGTTCGAGGTGAGTAATCGCTGTTCTGATGTCCAGAAGCTCTTTTTTCGGTCATAAGAGACGGTAGCAACACTATGTACAAAATGAGTTACAAACAATGCAAAAAAACAAACAAAATAGCACAGTTGGTTAGGAGCCCGTAAAATGGCAGTCATCCCCTCTGGCGCCAAGCTCTGTTAAATTCGGTAGGGAGCGGTGGTGAACAACAATCCTCAAGTCTTTCCACAGATATTCAATGAGATTCAAGTTAAGGCCTCTCAAGAACTTTCACATTCTTGTTCTGAAGCAATTTCAGCATGGAATATTTCGCAACAAAGCCTCCTTCACTCATGCTGCCAAACATGCTCTCGTAAAACTGACTATCCTACCGATCCTTGACTTCGGCGATGTCATTTTCAAAATAGCCTCCAACACGCTACTCAGCAAATTGGATGTAGTCTATCACAGTGCCATCTGTTTTGTCACCAAAGCCCCATTTACTACCCACCATTGTGACCTGTACGCTCTCGTTGGGTGGCCCTCACTACATATTCGTCGCCAAACCCACTGGCTCCAGGTCATCTATAAATCTCTGCTAGGCAAATCCCCGACTTATCTTAGCTCACTGGTCACCATAGCAACACCCACCCATAGTATGCGCTCCAGCAGGTATATCTCACCGGTCATCCCCAAAGCCAACACCTCCTTTGGCCGCCATTCCTTCCAGTTCTCTGCTGCCAATGACTGGAACGAACTGCAAAAATCTCTGAAGCTGGAGACTCCCCCTCACTAACTTTAAGCATCAGTTGTCAGAGCACCTTACCGATCACTGTACCTGTACACAGCCCATCTGTAATCAGCCCACCCAACTACCTCATCCCCATATTGTTATTTGTTTTGCTCATTTGCACCCCAGTATCTCTATTTGCACATCATCTTCTGCACATCTATCACTCCAGTGTTAATACTAAATTGTAATTATTTTGCACTATGGCCTATTTATTGCCTTACCTCCATAACTTACTACATTCACACACACTGTATATAGATTTTCTATTGTGTTATTGACTGTACGTTTTGTTTATCCCATGTGTAACTCTGTGTTGTTGTTGTTTTTAATCGCACTGCTTTGCTTTATCTTGGCCAGGTCGCAGTTGTAAATGAGAACTTGTTCTCAACTGGCCTACCTGGTTAAATAAAGGTTAAATAAAATAAAATAAAATAAATGGCTTTGGCTGTATGCTTGGGGTCATTGTCCTGTTGGAACGTAACCCAAGGTTTTTTGCACTCTGAAGCAGGTTCTCATCAAGGATTTGCCTGTATTAGGCTCCATTCACTGTTCCCTCTATCCTTACCAGTCTCCCAGTCCCTGCCGCTGAAAAGCATCCCCATAGCATGATGCTGACACCACCATGCTTCACGGTAGGGATGGTGTTCGACAGGTGATGAGCTGTGCCTGGTTTTCTCCAGACATAGCGCTTTGCATTCAGGCCAAAGAGTTAAATGTTTGTCTCATCAGACCACATAATCGTTTTCCTTATGATCTCAGAGTCTTTCACGTGCCTTTTTGCAAAACTCCAGGCGTGCTGTCATGTGCCTTTTTCTCAGGAGTGGCTTCCATCTGGCCACTCTCCCATAAAGCCCAGATTGGTGAAGTGCTGTAGAGACTGTTGTCCTTCTCCTATCTCAGCCAAGAAACTCTGTAGTTCTGTCAGAATGGTCATTGGGTTCTTGGTCACCTCCCTGACCAAAGTCCTTCTTGCCCGTTTGCTCAGTTTAGTCGGAAGGCCATCTCTATGCAGAGTCTGGATAGTTCCATATTTTTTCCATTTCCCAATGATGAAGACGACTGTGTTCTTGGAAGCTTTCAACACTTTAGAAATTGTTTTATACCCTTCCCCAGATATATGACTAAAATTCTATCTCGGCGTTCTACGGACAGTTCCTTGGACTTCATGGTATATTTTCTGCTCTGACATGCACTGTCAACTGTGGGACCTTATATAGACAGGTGTGTTTCTTTCTAAATCATGTCCAAATAATTGAATTGGCCAAAGGTGGACTCCAATCAAGTTGTAGTGACATCTCAAGGATGATCAAAGGAAATTGGATGCACCTGAGCTTAATTTGGAGTGTCATAGCAAAGGGGTGTGAATACTTATAAAAATGAGATATTTCTCAATTTCATTTTCAATACATTTGTTTTCACTTTGTCAATATGGGGTATTGTGTGAGGTTGGGTGAGATTTTTTATTTATTTAATTCATTTTGACTTCAGGCTGTAACAACAAAATGTGGAATAAGTCAAGGGGTATGAATACTTTCTGAAGGCACTGAAAGTTGATTACCATCAATGGAACAATGGTTAGTTCCCAAACTCTCCATTGTCCTGGCTGTGGTGTCTGGTATTGGAGTGTTGGTTGTTTCCTCTTCACAGTTCTCTTTTGGTGTCTGATAGATACCAACGATGCCCCCATCCGTCTTCTCCGCTATGGGTGCCATTGGATCAGATGTGGATGCAGTGTCACTGCCAGCCTGCTGTGACCAATCAACAACTAGATTGTCATATAACAATCAATTAAGATGAATGACTAAAGAGAAAAATCGGATATCATGCCTTGTTGCCAGAGGGTGGTTGGCGGAGGAACTCATAGTTGACAAAGTAGCTGTAGCTGACCACAGGGAACTCAGGTGAACTCTCATCCACAGTCAGCAGTGGGTCCGGGACACCCCTGATCCTACGCACTGTCACTGTTGCCATGGCCTGGTCCACTATCCGGTCTGTGGATGGAACATAACTATCTTACTCTTCTTACTCTTCAAAAGCAGGCTGAAACATTTTCCCAAGGTGATTTTATTTGGCCCCCCAAGTTCTATTATTTTACTTGTTGGACAAAAAAGACTGTAAAAACACCAGCAAATCAGCTCCAAGTGATTTCAATTTGGGAAATCTGGTCCAAAGTATTCCCACATGCATAATGATATACAGTGCCTTCAGAAAGTATTCACACCCCTTTACTTTTTCCACATTTTGTTGTGTTAACAGCTTGAATTTAAAATGGATTAAATTGAGATTTTATGTCACTAGCTTACACACAATACCCCATAATGTCAAAGTGGAATTATGTTTTTACATAGCTGAAATGTCTTGAGTCAATAAGTATTCAACCCCTTTGTTATGGCAAGTCTAAATAAGTTTAAGAGTAAAAATGTGCTTAACAAGTCACATAATAAGTTGCATGGACTCACTATGTGTGCAATAATAGTGTTTAACATGATTTTTGATGGACTACCTCATCTCTGTACTCCACACATACAGTTATCTGTAAGGTCCCTCAGTCAAGCAGTGAATTTCAAACACAGATTCATCAACAAAAACCAGGGGGGTTTTGCAATACCTCGCAAAGAAGGGCACCTATTGGTAGATGGTAAAAAAATGTAAAAGCAGACATTGAATAACCGTTTGAGCATGGTGAAGTTATTAATTACACGTTGTACAAAGATACAGGCGTCCTTCCTAACTCAGTTGCCGGAGAAGAAGGAAACCGTTCAGGGATTTCACCATGAGGCCAATGGTGACTTTAAAGCAGTTACCGATTTTAATGGGTGTGATATGAGAAAACTGAAAATGGATTAACAACATTTGAGTTACTCCACAATACTAACCAAAATGACAGAGTGAAAAGAAGGAAGCCTGTACAGAATAAAAAATATTCCAAAACATGAATCCTGTTTGCAATAAGGCACAAAAGTAAAACTGCAAAAGATTTGCCAAAGAAATTCACTTTATGTCCTAGGGCAAATCCAACACAACATATCACTGAGTACCACTCTTCATATTTTCAGGCACGGTGGTGGCTGCATCATGTTATGGGTATGCTTGTCATCGGCAAGGACAAGGGAGTTTTTTAGGATTTAAAAAAACAGAATAGAGCTAAGCACAGGCAAAATCCTAGAGGAAAACCTTGTTCAGTCTGCTTTCCAACAGACACTGGGAGACAAATTCACCTTTCAGCAGGACAATAACCTAAATCACAAGGCCAAATATACACTGGAGTTGCTTATCAAGATGATATTGAATGTTCCTGAGTGTCCCAGCTACAGTTTTGACTTAAATCGGCTTGAAAATCTATGGCAAGACTTGAAAATGGCTGTCTAGCAATGATCAACAACCAACTTGACAGAGCTTGAATAATTTTTTTAAGAATAATGTGTGAATATTGTTCAATCCAGGTGTTCAAATCTCTTCGGGATTTACCCAAGAAGACTAACAGCTGTTATTGCTGCCAAAGGTGATTCTAACATGTATTGACTAACATATATTGACTCAGGGGTGTGAATACCTATATAAATTAGATATTTATGTATTTAATTTTCAATACATTTTCTAAAATGTCTAAAAACATGTTTTCACTTTGTCATTATGGGGTATTGTGTGTAATCTCAGGCTGTAATCTCTTTTGAATTCAGGCTGTAACACAACAAAATGTGGAATAAGTCAAGGGGTATGAATACTTTCTGAAGGCACTGTATGTGATCGGCTAAATCTAGTTGATGACCCCTATTCTATGGCTAGGGTACTTGGGTAACTTGGCTCTCATTGATAATGAAATGCACAGACATAACACAGTGATGAGAACACAAGCAACTGCTGGGAAATGCCTGAGCTAAACAGGAAGAGAAGAACTGGTTTAATGAACAGAATATTCTGTCAAGAATCACTGTAAGGCAGGCTCCTTCAATAGGAAAATACAGTATGTGTCCACATCATTGAACAGGTATTGGGTGCTGATTCATGCCTGGAGAATATGATGTACAATCAGATCAACTATCTTGTGTGATTAGTGCATTCTTATGTCAGGTGGAGTCACTCCTACACAACCGATCAGTGCAGATGTAGTCGTCACACTATATAATGTAAGACAATGGTGATAGTGTGGTGATTGATAACTTCACCTCTCATCTTGGCCAGGCCTCCAAAGCGATGGTGATCATCCGGTGTGACCCGTGTGGCGTCCAGGTAGAGCAGCCGCGGTAGGCTATCCAGGATGAAGCCTGGGTAGGACGGGGTGAAGGTAAGGGGGTTGCCCTCCAGCACCAAGGTCCTCAGGCAAGGCAGGGTGGCCAGGGCATCCACTAGGGCCTGCTGTCCCTGGAAGCCAGACCAGCTCAGGTCCAGAGATACCAGCCGTGGCCTGAAGAGGGAGACAGAATGCAAGGGCTGAGCTGACAACTGGTGAGAGGAAGCTGTTGAACTGCCTCTGTATGTATGGGATCTGCCCTTTCATCAGTTATAATCAGGGGTGCACATAACTGGTACGCAGGTACGCAAGCGCGACAAAAATCAGGAATGCGTAATGCCACTTGTGTTACTACGCGCCTTTGCGTACTTGACCGATCTTCTCATCTAACCTTACACATGACATGTTGCTTGTCAACTACTGTCAGGGATGTCCAAAAAGCAACAGACATTAAGCAGCTTCTTTGGCGTTTCGCCACCTACAAAGAAACGCCAACTGGAGCCAGAGCCGAAGAAAATACTTTTTTTCGGAAAAGTGGCTCCAAGATGTGCAGTGGCTTGAAGCTAAGAATGAGCGCACTGAAATGTGGTGCAAGATTTGCCGCTCAAATCCACATCTAGCAGACAAAACCGGTGCATTTTATAAAGGCTCAAAGAATTTCAACCATTCTTTATTTGACAAACATGAAAAGAACAAGGAGCACACGAATGTGGCGCAAGCCATTGCTAAACAAGCTAGCCGAGAAGAAATGTCCAGTCGCCCACTTGCCAGATGGCGAGACAAGCTGAATGAAGAACAGCGGCAAGCTCTGTTTAATATTTTTCTCCTCGCCTTCCATAAAGCTAAACACGCACGTCCCATGTCTTTCCTATTCTGAGGATGTTCCTTTACTGAAGCGGCTAGGAGTAAATGTCGGAGGTGCATATCATTCACGTGAAGGGGGCACACGGATCATGCAGAGCATCGCTCACACCATCAGCGGGGAGTTACGAGCCAAGTTGCAGTCTGCTGAATTTTGGGGGCTGCTTTTTGATGGATCTGAGGACATCACAAAAACTGAGCAGGAAATCGTTTACATTGTGTCTGTGTCCAGCAACGGAGTGTTTACTTCAGACTTTATTGGACTGATTGAATTGGGTGCTGACCGAACCGCGCAGGCCATAACAGACGGACTTGTGAGACTTTTCCAGGACACAGGCTTGGATGACTGGACAAGAAAGTTGGTCGCTGTGTGCACAGACGGGGCTGCTGTCAACGTAGGTATCTACAACGGCGTTGTGCCAAAACTCCGGCAACTTGCTGCGGTTGGAGACTCCCTTGTGTACATTCTGTGCACCGCACACACACTGGAGAATTGCGTGAAATCAGCTGATCGCAACGTTCCTTACTGTGAGACATTTAATCGCTCTGTGGTCAAGCTGCTGCAGTTTTATTTACAAAAAGATGGAGCAAAAAAAACTGCTGCACTGAATAAGCTATGTGAAGAAAATGGGATCTCCTTTGTGAAACTGGGTAAGTTTCATAATATCAGATGGTCTGCATGGAGGCATGAAACACTTAAAAATATCAAGACTATTGCCAGCCATTAAAATGCAACTGGTTACAAGTGATAACAGTGACTTGCAGCATATCTGCACAGAGCGTTTTCAGTGCTTTCTGTCAAACATGCTTGACATTTGCAACATTTTGAACACCACATCCATTAGGTTTCAGAAGGAAAAGCTGACCATTGGAGAATGTAAGGATGAACTCATGGTGGCCATTGGACAGTTCACACTTCTGCTTGATGGTGAAAGCCACAGGGCACACACTGTTTCCAATGCTGATGCTGACAGAGACAATACTCAGGGGGTTAATTGAAGAGTTTGAAATCAGATATGACTCCCTCAAGTCATGTGATCATTTCTTAGTATTTGATCCTTCAACATGGCCTCAGGAAATGCAAGACCTCCACAGTTTTGGAAACACAACAGTTTGCAGCATTCTCAAGAAATATGAGGCTACCTTGCAACTTGACAAAGATACCACTGTGACAGAATGGATGCGCTTAAAGCAGGCAGGAAAACGCCTGGGAGCCTCTTCAGTGTATGACTTGGTCCAAATAGTAAATACAAGTAACCCAGATGCTTACTCCAACATCAACAAGGTGGTTAAGCTGTCTCTTACACTGCCTTTAAGCAGTGCAGCTTGTGAGAGGGGATTCTCACATCTCAACATAATAAAAACCAAGTACAGATCTCGTCTGTCACATGCTCGTCTCTCAGCACTGATGCACATTCACCTGTCAAAGCAGACCACAGAGACATTTGACCCAAAGCCTGCTGTTGACCTGTGGATGGAGACAGCTAATCGGAGGCTCAACCAAGGACAGGAAGGTGCATCTGCAGCATCTTCATCATCTACCATGCAGGAAGCTGAAGCAGAGGACAGTGGTGGCGGCACTGAGGAGGACAGTGAGGAAGACTGCACTTATTAAGACCACGCTACATATGGGGTGAGTACCAGACACCATCTGCTGGTACTCACCTGAGTAACTCACTGAAAAAGTTATGTGCACCCCTGGTTATAATGATGTTTGATTGACCACACAAACAACCTGAACAGCCATGGTAAAAAAGTTAGGCAAAAAGTATTTTTCTCATATGGGGAATAGATGGTATAGCAACGAAATAAATATACATTATAGCTAGTTGTTCATATTTTATATGAAAATAGTATTTGAGTAACTATGATATGTTGTGCCCCTAATAAGACATGTATTTTTTAGATCTTCTGTTTCACCCACAAAGGTTAATTTTGTTAGTACTTTTATTTTATGAGGTGCATAACTTTGTTACTTGAACTGAAAAGCACTATACAAATAAAGTTATTATTATTATTATTCAAATGACTGCTAAGGAATGTAATGAATTATGTCCCTTCCAATGGTCCCTTCCTATTATTGCTAGAGTCTGTTGTCATCTGTTGGTGATTGTGAGCAAGTGCAGATGAGTATTGAAATTGTACTGCTTGTCACTTGCCCTGTGTGTGAGCACTTACCATAGAGTTCCAGTGAGGTACTGGATGTCTGCGGGGGAACCCAGCCTGTTGCAGCCCAGACCCAGGTGCTGAAGGCAGGGTAGAGGCTGGCTGCATAGACCTTTAAGGCTGGAAACCTGGTTGGCGTAGAGCTCCAACACCTTTCAAACAAACGCATATAATGCATTTATTTGAAGGACTGTGCAGTGATATCAAAGACTATCACTATATGCATCAGAGTGTTCAAACATCCCAATGATTTTAAACTTACTGCTTGCTGTCTTCTGAGCTAAAAGATTGAAAAAGTGACCCTAACAATGTCATAAATAATATAAAAAGTAATAAGGCCTACTTGTTTTAATGTTTTTAGTGATACATCACACCAATATCTGTGAATTTTCTAATCAATTTGATCAATCCATAACCCTAGCTTCATGTCCACACCGCAGTTGAACCCTAACCCTAGCTATAACCCTAACCCTGACCCTGACCCTGACCCTAACCCTACTCCTTACCCTAACTTCATGTCCACACCCCGGCTCAACCCTAACCCTAACCCTAACTCAAGCCCCAACCCTAGCTTCATGTCCACACTCCGGCTCAACCTTAACCCTAACCTTAACTCATCCTTGCTTCATGTCCACACCCCAGCTCAACCCTAACCCACCCTAGCTTCATGTCCACACCCCAGCTCAACCCTAACCCACCCTAGCTTAATGTCCACACTCCGGCTCAACCCTAACTCCACATAATCACTCCTCCTACTACAGTTCAGTGCAGACGAATGGCGCTCTATCTGAGTGCCCCTGTGGTGGGATTCAATGAGACATGGGTTGATGTGCCACAGCCCCTCCTCTCCCTGTGTTGTGTGACTCACTTGTAAAGTGCAGGGCAGGTATTCTGCTTGCAGTTCAGAAATTTTGTTGGCACTCAGCACTAACTCTCTTAGACTGGAGAACCTGAGCAAGCCATCATCGACGATGGAGACCTGATGCACACAAACAGACCCATTCACTGACAGTATGAATTCACATTCAAAATATGGGGGAGGGTCTTCCTCAATATAGCTGGTCTTTTCCTGAAAATGCGAGACTACACTGCTGGGACTTATCAAATAATGCTTTCATCACACATGGTTTTCATATGCAATCAACCTTGCTCCTGTCCTGCTCAAAGTGATGGCACGTCTTACTATAATTGCTGATTACTGTACAAAATAAAATGTTGGATGAATTGTTTATTTCAGTAGGACAGGAATATAAAGGCTGGTAATATAAACTGGAGCCAAAGGATTGCTCAACAAATGCATTAAGGCTTGTGAGCATTGGGTATCAGACAGCTAATATACTCACACCCTTGTCCACAATACGTAGGGTGTTGAAGTGGCTGAATATGAAGTTGCCATGGAGAAGTTCAGGTGTTCGCACGGACAGCTCTCTCAGGGTCGGGGCTTGGGGGCTCCATGACCCCTCATGTCGCCATGGGGACAGTGGACTGGTCAAGTGCTCCATAAGGGCCTCCTGCTCTTCCTTGGCTGCACCTTCTCTCCCCTCGTCCTGCTCGATGTAGCCCCAACTCTGTTCCTCAAAGATATTCCCTCTGGATTTGCTCTAAACACAACAGCACAGGAACATGCCGTTATGAGGTAAAAAGCATTCCATTTCTGTTTATCAATGGTATTTTGGACCATCTCATTCATATCCAATACTTTGCACATGAAAAGAGTAGGACACCATCAAGAGGTGAGCTTGCTCGCTGGATGGCACCATCAAGAGCCATGTACTGTGTATATATATGGCTCTGGCACCATCCATTACATTACATTGAGACTTTGGGATCTTTGAGTAAATCACACAAGTTTGTCTGCCCTCTTTTCCACCAACCTGATCTGATGTGTTGCCAAAAAAGCTTCATACATAAATGGCTTGTGGACTCACCCAACAGCCATGCCCACATGGAAAGTCCTTCAGACAGAGGCTACGAAGCTGCTCCTCCACAGCCAAAGAAAGTGTCCGAGAGCTCATACTAAAGGATTAGGGTTGTAGATAGAGAAAAAATTACAGACCCATTAAAGGGAAAGTCAATCCCATGAAATGGTGTGAGAGCCACAGGATCAAACTAATTTACTTCATGTTTTGGGTAGAATTAAGGCTTTGTTTTTCTTGGTTTCTCAAGGTCCTGTTGCCTGTTTACAATTGAGCGGCTGCATTTGGCTCTGGAGCCTTTCGGAATGGTTGCCTGGCAACAGTTGACAGAACACATACCAGGGATCTACATTACACCACTTTCCTGTAGTGGGAAGGTACATGGGCTGAACTCTTCAATTAAGTTCCTTTGGCAGGCACACAGATGGTCTAAAGATAGGAACAATGCCTTCAGAAAGTATTCACACCCCTTGACTTTTTCCACATTTTGTTGTGTTACAAAGTAAGATTAAAATGGATTTATTCGTACTTTTCTTGTCAACAATCTAAACAAAATACACCGTAATGTCAAAGTGGAAGAAAAGTCTAACAGTTAGAATCACCTTTGACAGCGATTACAGCTGTGAGTCTTTCTGGGTAAGTCTCTTAGAGCTTTGCACACCTGGATTGTATAATATTTGCCCATTTTTCTTCAAAGAATTCTTAAAGTTGGTTGTTAATCATTGCTAGACAGACATTTTCAAGTCTTGCCATAGATTTTCAAGCCGATTTAAGTCAAAACTGTAACTAGGCCACTCAGGAACATTAAATGTCATCTTGGTAAGCAACTCCAGTGTACATTTGGCCTTGTGTTTTAGGTTATTGTCCTGCTGAAAGGTGAATTTGTCTCCCAGTGTCTGTTGGAAAGCAGACTGAACCAAGTTTTCCTCTAGGATTTTGCCTGTCCTTAGCTATATTCCATTTATTTTTATCCAAAAAGTTTTGTCCTGAATTTCTTTGCAGTATTACTTAATTGCCTTATTGCAAACAGGATGCCTGTTTTGGAATATTTGTATTGTGTACAGGCTTCCTTCTTTTCACTGTGTCACTTATGTTAGTATTGTGGAGTAACTACAATGTTGTTGATCCATCCTCAGTTATCTCCTATCACAGCCATTAAACTCTGTAACTGTGACACAAAATCTCAATTTTATCCATTTTAAATTCAGGCTGTAACACAACAAAATGTATAAAAAGTCAAGGGGTGTGAATACTTTCTGAAGGTACTGAATACTTTCTGATGTTCCGTGTTAATATTATCACTTGGACTTGTGACTAATGGGAAATTAAACCTTGAGGGATTTTTTTTTTACAGAATAAGCAATTACATCTCACATTACACTTTTTCTGTGGGCGGTTTTATTCTAACATGCCTTCTATTTCTCATATTCTGTAGCGGGTGATTTGGACGGAGTCAGGCGCAGGAGGGTAAATCACAGAATAAATGGTTTATTCGGCAATACAGCAGCAATGCGTAAAACACTTCAGATGCGGTAATACGGCACACTTGAGAAAACAAGGCACAGGGGTGAATATCCCGGCGATACAAAAAACAATATAGCTCTACCGAGCTACAGTGACCTCCACAATAAACAATCACACACAAAGACAAGGGGGCCAGAGGAAATACTTATACAAGTACTGATGAGGGGATATGAATCAGGTGTGTGTAATAAACAAGACAAAACAAATGGGATGATGAGATGAGGAGAGGCAGTGGCTAGAAGGCCGGTGGCGATGAACGCCGAAGCCTGCCCGAACAAGGAGAGGAGGCAGCTTCGGAGGAAGTCGTGACAGTCCGCCCCCCCCCCTTGACGCGCAGCTCCAGCAGCGCGCCGACACCGGCCTTGTGGACGGCCAGGAGGACACGGAGCAGAGCGAGCCAGATGGCGACGGTGGAAATCCCGCAACAGGGAGGGGTTAATACGGTAATCAGGAGGGAGTAGTAACCTATATGTAACCCCGTTTACTCTCCTCAGGACTTTGAACGGCACCCCAAACCGCGGGCTCAGCATTCGGCAGGGCAGGCGGAGGGGCAGATTCCGGGTCGAGAGCCAGACCCGATCACCCGGTACAAAGACCAGGGCCTCACTGTGGTGGCGGTCAGCGTTGGCCTTCTGGCGACGCAAGGCGCGCTGGAGGTGGATATGGGCAGTGTTCCACGTCTCCTCCGTGCGCCGAAACCAGTCATCCACCGCAGGAGTTTTGGTCTGGCTCTGATGCCACAGTGCCAGGATGGTGGTGTTACCCTGAGAGAGGAAAAGATCATGAAGAAGTCAATTGACAAGTGGGACCATGGCCGTTGTGGAACTGGTAAGGGATGTAACTTACCCGCTGGAAGGTGCCTTACTCTGGGCGCACACTGAGCAGGAGGAGACATACACCCTTACGTCCTTAGCCAAGGTAGGCCGCCAGTACTTCCTGGTCAGGCAGCGCACTGTACGACCAATACCTGGTTGACCAGAGGAGGGGGACGTCTGTGACCAATAGATAAGACGATCACGGACAAGAGACGGCACGTACCGCAGCCCAGCTGGGCACTGAGGTGGAGATGTCTCTGTGCGTAATGCCCGCTCTATGTTCGCGTCCACACTACCGGCACCACAATGCAGGAGGCCGGAAATATGGGGGTATTGTCTATGGGCCTCTCCTCTGTGTCGTACAACCGTGACAGTGCATCTGCCTTCACGTTCTTAGTACCTGGTATGTATGACAACGTGAAATCAAACCAGGTGAAGAACAAGGTCCACCTGGGCTGGCGAGGGTTCAGCCTTCTCGCTGCCCGGATGTACTCCACGTCACGGTGGTCAGTCCAGACGCGGAAAGGGTGTTTCGCCCCCTCGAGACAGTATCTCCACGCGGTCAGGGCTCTGACAACAGCCAACAGCTCCCGATCACCAATGTCGTAGTTCTGCTCCGCCGGGCTGAGCTTCTTAAGGAAAAAGGCACAGGGGCGGAGCTTGTGTGGCATGCCCGAGCGTTGGGATAGGACAGTGCCTATCCCTACCTCGGACGCATCCACCTCTACTACGAACGGTAATGATGGATCGGGATGGGCCAGTACCCGGGGCTGAGTTGAACAGAGCCCTCAGCAGACCAGTGGAGCCGAGACGACAGAGAGGTGATGGGAGCTGCGACCTTGCCAAAGCCCCGGATAAACCTCCGACAGTAATTGGCAAAGCCAATAAAGCGATGCACCTCCTTTACCGTGGTTGGAGTAGGCCAATTACGCACGGCTGAAATGCGGTCTCCCTCCATCTCCACACCTGAGTTGGTGATGTGGTATCCGAGGAAGGAGACGGACTGTTGGAAGAACAGACACGTTTCTGCCTTGGCATACAGGTCATGCTCCAACAGTCGGCCCAGCACTCTGCGAACCAGGGACACATGCTCGGCGCACGTAGCGGAATACACCAGAATGTCATCGATGTAGACCACCACACCGCGACCAAGCATGTCCCGAAACACCTCGTTCACAAAGGACTGGAAGACAGATGGAGCATTCATCAAACCGTAAGGCATCACCAGGTATTCGTAATGCCCCGTGGTTGTGCTGAATGCTGTCTTCCACTCGTCCCCCTCCTGGACACGCACCAGGTTGTACGCACTCCGGGGATCTAATTTCGTGAAGAAGCGCGCCCCATGCATTGATTCGATAACAGAGGAGATGAGGGGTAGAGCATAACTATAGTGAATGGTAGTTTTATTAAGTGCCCGGTAATCAATGCAAGGGCGCAGACCTCCATCTTTCTTCTTCACGAAAAAGAAACTCGAGGAGGCGGGCGAAGTGGATGGACGTATGAACCCCTGGCGCAGGGACTCGGAGACGTATGTCTCCATAGCCTCCGTTTCAGCCTGCGACAGGGGATAGACATGACTCCTGGGAGGCACAGCGTCTAACCGGAGGTTTATCGCACAATCCCCCACCCGATGGGTTGGTAATTTGGTCGCCTGCGTTTTGGAAAACGCATGCGCCAAGTCGAGGTATTCGGGGGGAATGCGCACGGTGGAGGTAGTGTCTGGACTTTCCACCGTGGTTGCACCAACGGAAATAGCTAGACACCTACCCTGACACTCTCGCGACCACCCCGAGAGAACCTTCTGCGGCCATGAGAAGGTGGGGTCGTGTAGTGCGAGCCAGGGAAGACCCAACACAACAGGGTAATCAGGGGACTCAATAATAAAAAAGGTGATTTGCTCCCTATGGGTCTCCTGCAGAATCATCGTGACTGGTGCTGTAACCTCCCTAACATAACCTGACCCTAATGGTCGACTGTCAAGTGCTTTGATGGGCAATGGAATGGATATGGGAACCAATGTGATACATAGACTATTAGCTAACTACCTGTCCATAAAGGTCCCAGCTGCGCCTGGGGAACTACCGTGTAATCAGGGAAGTTGACGTGTATGGTGAAGTGCGCAGCAATGTAGAAAATAGTAAAAATAAAGAAAAACCCTTGAATGAGTAGGTGTGTCCAAACTTTGACTGGTAATGTATATTCCATAAACGATCACTCAACCTTTGCCCTTATCAAATTATTCATAATAACCCATATTTACTGATCTGTGTGTGAGGTTTTTTGAGTTTTCAGAACCCAAGAAAGCCTGTGCCATATATGCTATGTCATTAGACATATGAAGGCCTTTGCCTACATTTTGAATCAGGACAGCCTCAATATCTATCCCCAATATCTGGTGAATAGTCAGGGAAGTCCGAATATCTGACACTCGAGTTGACCAAATGACACGTCATTTACTCTCAATGGGAGTAGTGATTACTCACACAATAACTAAAAATGACAATAAAGCAATTTCGATATGCATTTTCGAAAGAAAGAGGAAAGGAAAGAAAGCATATTGGACGATCTTTATCTCAACCAGCACATTTATAAGCAAAGACCCTTGCACCCTTAAACTTTTGGAAATCTCATCATCAAACACCCCTTTGACCAGATCTACACAGCTATTTGACATGGAACTCTGTGGTGGTGAGAACTGAACGTTTCTTTTTAACACTGTGTTTTGCTTGAGAGGAATTTATATATGGGAGACACACTCAG